TGGATATTAACACCGAATATGGGAATTTGAACTACTGTAAACGGTTATGTATTAGCCAGAAGTTTCATGCAGTACACAGAAAGAATGTTTATATATTAAAGCAGCAGCCTTCTCCCGTTCTGAGTAGTAAAAGAGATTTATAGCTCGGAAAAAACACTAAGACAGTAAACTAATTAAACAGCGGTCCATTTCCCGTTAGTCAGTACCCATGGAAATTTAACTGGTTTAGTATTAGGAGTAAAATGCAGTCTGTTACAGAGCTGTACTGAACCGCGTTACCCGATCTGCGTGTGTCCTGCTTCCTGTGCGGTATGTGGTTAACGGGCACGTCAGTAAGACTAATGTGGGTCATTTATCCGAATTCACAGCATGAACATGGAATTTACATTCCGTAACGAGAAATTGCAGAACTCCCGATACCATAATGTCTTGCATGCCTCCACCTTCCCGCATCACCTGTTCGCGTGTGTGTGTGTGTGTGTGTGTGCGCGTGTTTGTGGAGTTCGCATGTTCTCTATGTGTGTAAGGCAGCTAACTGGACCTGTCCATGGTATGAGCTTGTATGTGTATGTGTTTGCCTGCCTTGTGCCCCCCCCCCATCCAGGGTGTCACCCTGCCAGGTACCCTGTGCTACCTGGAATAAACTCCAGGTGCCCCTCTAATCCTGACTAGGATAAGCAGTTGAAAGACGGAAGAATGAACAGTTCACAAGAAGGTCTACTGGAGACACTATTCTAACCCATATTTATTAGCATTTATACTTGTGTTACTGCTCTTAGTCTGAAATTTTCATCTTGCTCTAAATAACAAATTTAAATTTTAAAGTATATTGAGGCCCTGTGATGGGTTTGTACCCCCTTCCTGGGTTATTCCCACCCATTGTTTATGTAGTAGACTCCGGAGTACCGTGACTCTGAATAGGATAAGTGGGTTTGGAAAATGAATGAATGAGTGAATGAGGGAGGGAGGAAGGAAGGAAGGAAGGATCTATGATCTTGTTTCAGGGTGCGGAAAATGGCTGAATGGACATTGACTGATACATTGAGAATTTAAGGTTCATCAATGACATATTAGCTGATGTTTGGCAGCGATGTGTGATGTAACACAGCTGAAGTTTCTGGCTGTGGAAATAGTTCTTTAGTAGGACACGATTTAGAGAATAAGACTGAATGTACACCTAGGTGACTGGTATTCAGGATTGTCAACAAGGCGTGGGACTGAATAAGCATCTACGGCTCTCAGGGCACCACATCAAATTGTAATGTCCTTTTAAGGCTGTACCTGCATCCCCCTCCACTGTTCCTCCACCCTCAACACCCACCAGCATGGACCACAGTTGCCGACCCTAAAAGTCACAACAAGGGAGGAGTGTGCCTACACAAATATACTGTAAACCACAAGCATCTATGACATAATCACTTTGCAGCATGTTCTGAGTTCGTGGCCCTGGTAGCTTTGTGGAGGCGCGTGGATGTTTAACGCCTTGAGATGCTCCGAGGGGTAGGAGCTCAAGCGGCTTTGACAGAATGATAAAAGAAGAGTGCAGGAATATTTTAAAAATATTTTACATTTACTATGCAAAAGCACAGAAATACCAATTCCTATGAGCCTGATGCAACCAGAGGTCAATAGTTCAGGTCCAGAAACTACAAATCCAGACCAAGATTTTGTTTCAACCAACCAGTTGAACATAAAGAGTCACAGACACAGAGTACTCAACTGGTTGGTTGAAACAAAATCTTGGTCTGGATCATTATTTCCTGGACCTGAACTATCCACCTCTGGTCTGAGCTGACAGAAACATAATGATTGTTTATTACGGTACAAGTTTCATTGAAATGAAATTAAATAGCTTTGTACGGTAGAATTCAGGGTATATTCGCTGCTTCCTGGAACAGACTGCAGATTCAGCCTGACCTTGCGCTGGATTAGCGGTTATGACAATAGATGGGCAATTAGCATGAGCTGTGATGATGACCACAATGTGCTATGATGACACTTTAATAAGGAAATCATCTGATCGGAAGAGTTTCAGGTTCACAAGAGTCTGCAAACTGTCACTGTCAGTTTCATACCCGTTTTATAAACACCATTCTGCCCTTGTCTGTTGGCTATCAGACACTTTGGAAGAATTGCGTAATAGCAAAAGAGTAAAAATAAATGCACAGATTGCTTGTAATATGGATCCTGCCCGAGTGAAGTAAATATCCAGCTGGCTGAATAATGAACGTTTCTCTAAATGCTTGACCTTCAGATGTAAACACAATAGTATCACTTGCAGTTTAGACTTAGGTACAGATAAATTACAAATCCATACTTATTATATAGCATATAGCCATTATTTGTTCAATACTCATGCTATGGTGCCGTTTTTTGTTGTGCCACAAGATCAGGGCAAGAGCATTAGAACCCCTGTGATGTCAGCAGAGACAGACTGATTGCCTGAGGTTGTGCAAGAAGGGAACGTGTATCTTAGGAGAACGTAAAGTTTAAAGAGTCAGTTTTTCTTATAGTACGACACTTATATCGCACCTTTGAGATTTTCCAGTAGAACTCAGATAACCCATTAGAAACTGTAGGATTCTCTCTCAGTTTGACCTTGCATAGAGAATATCTCATTTTTGATAATTATTGCGTCGTCATTTTCTAAAATATGCCATTTATCAGAGGCACATAAAGGCCGTGGGTTTTAGTTCAGGGACACTCACGCTATGGTCAGTTTGGCCTTTCATGTGTGATCTGTGGGGAACTGAAAGTTTGTCCGCAGCTGGAGACCACGGCTGCCATGATACCACAGCCCCCCCGTCTTGTCTATGATCTTAAGAAGCTGGAGAGGAAGCGAGTCCCAGCCTTCCCAGCTGGCCCCGTAGCTTGGGACCCAGTGGGGTGGAAGCGGGGGCAGGACTTCAAGCGGTGTGCCATTTACACCTCGCTATCGTCGCTCGATGCGGCCCTTGTGGGGGTGAAGCTCACAGATAGCCAGCAGGCAGGCGCACCCCTCCCTTGTGCCCTGGGCGAGGCGTCGGCGATGTATAAATAATGCACGATGGGCTTTTTTTTTCACCGCAGGGATAGAGTGAAAGCCCACAAGAGCTGAGTGAGTCCAAGATGCAGGATGAAGACTCATTTCACCTGCAGCCATTGTGAGATCTGGGAATTTGCAGATTGACCCCAGAAGGGATTACGGAACCGTCCCATGATCTCAGTCCCTCTGCCCGTTATCAGCTATGAAACTCATAACCTTCCCTCCTGAACTGTTCTCAAAAGTTTGTTCCAAATTTTGGATTGGTTCATACAAAAATCTGATTAATCGGCATGATTTTTGCTTATAGAGCAAATTATTTCTTTGTTGGTTTCCCTGGGTTACATATTCCTGTAATAATCTATTCATACTGTGACCATTATGCCGTGGTAGTTTTAAGAAACAAATCAATCTCCAGTAGGGTAATGATTCTGCTATATGATCCACAAACGCACCCAATCGCAGTGCTGCATTTCAGCCAGACATCACCGAGATACACGAAAAATACTTTTATGTCACGTTTCCTTTCTTATGTCTAAAGAAATTCAAATGCTATAGTGGAACATAATGGTTAGTTAAAATCACACATCCTGAATTAAAAATTCACTCAGCAGAACACAGCCTGTAATCCCATCCAAAATTAAACCAGTTGTGAATATTATAAAAGCAAACAAATCCAGTTAGAGACTCTTACCAGAACTGCATCCCCTTGGCACAAAAATATTTCTTCTCTTTGGAAATGGAATAAAGGGATGTAGGAACTCTAAAGAGAGAGAGCGAGAGAGAGAAAGAGAGAGAGGGAGGTGTGGAAAGGAAGTCCTACAAGTCAGCTAGCAGCCACTTGGAGTCGTGAGACAGGAGATGAGGAGGTGGCCTCGCGATCCTTCCTGCTCCTGCTCCTCCCCACCAGAGCTCCCCGCGCTCCCGACTGCCAGAGGAAATGGTAGCGTCCACCCTGGCTTAGGAGCACAACCCGGGGAGGAGGGTGTTGACAAGAGAGTGTGTGTGAGTGAAAATGAGAGGGGGAGGCTCACAGGGGATGAGTGCAGTAGATAAGTGGGGGGGGGCTTTGACTGACAGATGTGTTCATCTTTAAAGTGAAGAGTAAGCGATATGGTGGAGCTTCTGCACAAAGTGTCGCCCAGTCCTCTGTCATCCCATATTCCACGGGATGGCTGGGAATTACAAGATCTAAATGCCTCACAAAACTCACACTTTGCGTCTCGTCTGATTCTTTTTTAGCATTAGTCTGTTGAGCTGGGGGCCGGGGATGGTGGAGGGGGTGTTTGTCAGCACCTGCTCTCTGACAGAGATGCTGTTGTCATTTTGCTGCGAATAAAAGGTGTCACTGCCCCCCCCAGGGATGCCCAGGTTCAGAGCAAACAGCCCTTTCCAAAGCATCTATTGTGTCCCCCCCTTTGCTCTGATGCACCAGCTGCACTTCATGTGCCTTTATGTCTATGACAGTTGTGTTTAATAGTGCTTTTATAATGCTTTTTAGAATGATGATGCCGAATGGCGCTCGGATAAGGCTCATTGGCCGGAGACAGTCTGAAGCAAACAGGCCCGCGAACATGATGCCCTGTGTTCACGGGTCCTGTGACAGATGGCTGCTCTGTGCTAATCATTCAGAAAGACGCCAATGAGCAGGAGCACGCTCAGCATCCAGCCCTTAATCCCTTCTAAACACTACTCTGACTGTTTCCTGCAGGAACACCTTTGTTCCAACTTTACCTTTCCAGCATGTAAAACTTAACAATGGAGTTTACATAGTCAGTATAATTGTGAATTTTTTCTCTCTCTCTCTCTACATATATATATATATATATATATATATATATATATACGTGTGTGTGTGTATATTATATACACACTGTATGTGTATGTATATATATATATATATATTTACATGTGTGTATGCGTATATATCCATAATTCCAAAAGAGTGTCGGATACGAAGACAGTCGTCCTCAGCCGGAATTGAAGGAATACCAGGAACCAGGAAGTAATTTGTGTTATTCAGGACTCCTGCACCAACGCCACCTGCAGGAGATACAGGTACTGCACAGAAAGAGGAAAGGCCTGGCATGGCCATGAGAAGTGCAACCGTCTTCCTAAGCAAGAAATCTTTCTTCTATTTTTGCTTATAATGACTTTAGTTGGTATTTAGAATTCATGGACCAGTATATTCAGAGATCAGCTTCTGAGTGCTGTTTGTTTTTCTTAAGGGACACCCTGTCATCTTTAAGACTGGCCTTTGTGAGGAGGTGCTGTTCCACCTTTGCTTTAACCCCTCTGCCAGCCCATGTTGGTCTGTGCCACTGCAGGACGTCATTATGGGAAGCAGATGATCTCCTGCACAGAGGTAAAACTCCCTAATCTCATGCTCAGATCATTCTAATGCAAAGAGGATTAGCTCCGCCCAATCAGGGCCCACGCCTAAATATAGAACAAATAACTGTCCCTCTTTCCTTTCTTCCTTCACCTCTGCTCTCTCCTACCCTTCATCCAGCCACAATGCAAACCCTCTGGTATCTTTCATCAACAGTTGTTCACCTCAGACCTCACTGAGGTACGTCTGTTTATTGCCCAACCTTTTTTTGTTTCCAGTACAGAGTCACATTGAATGAATGAATATATTACATGTATGCAACACTTTTCAAAACACCCAAAGCGCTTCACAGAAAATACAGGGAGCCACTTCAGCCACCCCCACTGAGTGGCCCCCACCTGGATGATGCGACGGCAGCCATTCTGTGCCAGTACGCTCACCACACTGTAGCTAAGGTGGTGAAGGGACAGGAGAGGATTCACCAGTTAGATATAGGGGATGATTAGGAAGCCAGATTTAAAAAGCCACGGTGGGCGATTTTAGCCAGAACATCAGGGTACCAGCCCTGAACCCTGAGCCTGAACCCCATCCCATAAAGCACACCAAAGAGGCACTAGTTCACATAACCGTCTGGCTGCAGGAGGAAACAGGTGGACCTCGAGGAAACCCCTGTGTCAGAATGCAGGAACATGCAAGCTTCAGATGCACAACAAAGCCGTAGACTTGTGTCTGATCCACCTGCTTGTACCTGGACACCCGTCCATCTCGATATCAAATGTCCGTGGTATTTCTAACGACCTTGGAGGGAATGTTCTTGGTCCCTCTATTCCCAGGTGTGCAGAGCCTCACCGGCCAGACTGTCCCCAGACTGTCACAGCTTGATCTCCTCCCTTCACCGGACATGCGATTTGATAGGTCATTGCCACCTGTCATTGCTGTGTGTCCAGCTCCACACTTCTGCCCCCCCCCCCACCGTGACACCATTATGCAGATCTGAGTTGCCCTCCACTTTGGGGAGATCCTGCTCCCAGGATGACTGCTGGAGCCTTTAGCTAATGAGCTGGAAACCGCATGGTGATTAATCACATGGCTCTCAGAACCACGCAGTAGACTGACAGCAGACCGAGAAAGAATGTGTGGGGTGTGGCCCCCCCACTGCCGAGGTCACGTCCTCCTTACTACTCCTGTGAGTGAATCAGGTGAATTTTGTGTGTCGATTATGTCCGTCTATCCTTCACCTGCCTGTGCATAAATTGTGATGTCACAGCCCTTTCCTTCATGGTGAGGAGGTACTGGGATATTCCCACTGCCTATGAAAGCACAATGTTTCTTGTGGTTCCAATCAGACCAGAGGCTGCCTCACATCGTCAAAACCAACAGAGGAGAGGCCTTGATGCAGTATTATCTCTGGGTCTTACGGGTTCTCCAACAGAACCACTCTGTAGAGACTCGGATTACAGGGACAACAGGCTGCCTGATGAGGCTCACAGAAACCTTATCCCATAAAGCCGCCCCCCTGCATGAAAAGCTGAAACCACTGATTGACCATCACATGTGCTTCTGTGCAGGATCCTGCCTGTGACTTTTAGCATAGAACAGATAACTCTGAAGCTGGTGCCATGAATGGTGATTGGATGGCAGGCGTGTCACATGCTTTACAGCAGTGTGTAATGTTGTGCTGTGGGGCATCACCTCCTGTTCCATTAGAAAATGTTCCTGGGGGAGTGATGGATTAACTTTACACCCATCTCCCAACTGTTAGAGAGAAAGGTACGTGCGACGGTAATCCTCACCGTGATTTGGGGAATGAAGATAACCCCCAGCAGTGAGTGTGAGGGGGGCTCACTGTCCTTAGCAAATCACTCATGAGAGATTGCGAGAGCTCCACCTCTAGTCCCATTATCCACCAATCAGCTCCCAGTACAAGACTACCTGTGCCCTGATGCAAGTGACTGATCCAAAATCCCACAGTCTGGGTAGAGCCCTCCCACTTTAGCAATCCCACCCAAATCTGTGCCATAAACCGCTTCATCCTTCGCAGAATCCTCTGCCCTCATTACGAGCCTCATCTCGCATCAGAAGAGCACCACTCACATAGACACCATTATGTTTCATGCCACTGCGCTCCAAAATAACTTCCCTGACAAGTGTTTGCTGTTTGTTCATATCTGAGCTGTTTTAGAGCTGTTTAATCCGCACGGTGTTGCCGCTCCCCATTGTGCAGCTTGGGGGGGCTTCATATTGGTACAGATGCTGATTCGCTCAGAACCAGTGAGAGGACAGGAGAGGATGATGCAGCTCTTTCCAGACATTTAATTTTACCCCAATTACGTAAACTGCATTGACGTGAGTCCCTTCTTGGACGTTGTGCATTTGGCACGCAACATATTCCTCTGACAGGGAGGATATTTCACCTCTTTCATTTTGTGCTGATCTGTTCAATTATTTTGTACTGATATTAGTTGGGTGCAGTAAATACAAATTGGATGTGTGCAGGTTATCTCCTACACTGATTATTGATTAATTGGCTTCTGAGCTGCACATGACTGGAGTTCCATAAAGCAAGGCATTGTGGGTATTATCATGATTGAAGTCAGGTTACCCTAGTCTTTGTACATATAGGGCAGCTGGACCACAGCTGGTATGATTTCAGCATTTAATTTTTTGATTATTATATGCTTTTATAAAAAACAAATTAACAAGCAAACGAAAACCTACCAGTTTCCTAAGACACTAGAAGACAGTAGAAAAGGCAAATAAACAAAATATATTTTAACTTTTGTATTTGACATTTGCATTTAAGTATAACAATTCAACCAAATGTTCACAGCATGGTACTCAGACACGCATAACCCATTACCCACTGACTGGCTCCCAGTTTGGTTCCTCCTTGCCTTTTTGGTTAAACCAACATCCACTACCATTGATAATTAAAATCCCTATTCCTTAGCCCATCCCTGCTTTACATGTCCAGGCCTTCAATGCCATACTTGCAGGGCCTTGCTATCAGGGGCGGATCTAAGGTTGCCAAGAGGTGACCACCGCTGTTGCCACTAGTGGTGTAAATCACGGCTTTCCTCGCAATACGATACAATATCAATTCCTTAAGCCAATGGTTCGATTTTTTTTGATGCCTCAGAAATTCCCACGATGCGACACGATTCGATTCAGCTCAATACTGGGGTTAGTAGTCGAAATGAAGAAATTTCACACAATCCTTTACATTTCAATGGATTAAAAAGGCAAATATTATTAGCATTTTATCATATTTTATTGGGAACTGAAATCAAAATCCAGTGTAGTCAAGTATGTCCCATAAAACAAGCAAAACAAAGTACAATAAGGTAAAAATAAAAAAAACATTGCATGGACCGACATGTAGAATGAGGAAGATTAACATGACTGACTTCTGCGGTTAAACAAGTAGGTCAGTAATCTTCTTTGAGAGGTTTTTTTTTTTTTTAAAGAAAAATTAAACGGTCAACATGTTCAGGAGATTGTGTGCTCTGAGCGTACTGTAGCGTCCTGTACGTGTCACCTACCGTAGTAAACACGCTCTGAAGGTACAGTACGCTAGCTTTCGAGCTACTTACAGTATAAATGACCAATCAGAATGATCTACGTATAAAAATGCAAAACATATATTTATGTGTAAAAATATTGAGTATTCTTTAATATTGCTATTATTATTTATTATTATTAACATTATTATTATTAATTTCCCTTTGGGATAAATAAAGTACTTTTGAATTGAACTGGAATTTTAGTTCCTTCACCTTTCTCTTTCTCAGCTCGCTTTTCGGAGGGAAGGTTAATGTCGTAGTTTTTATTAACAGTCCGAAAATGCCGCTCCTCATTTCCCTTCTTCGGAATAGCAATGGGAGACTGAGAGATGAGGCAAACGCACTTCGAATTTGACATTGTGAAAAACAGTCCTCCTCCCATTCCGTATGGAAGTGGTAGGTTTTTGGCTTCTTACTTGGTCCAGCTCCCCCTTTCATTTTTATACCCTTTCTTAGGTTTAATAGAAATAAATTGGAGGCTAACTAGGCGACTCGGTCGCTTGCAGAAGTTTTGCAGCAGCTGGCGCGGTTCAACGCGTCTCCCATCTATTTTTTTTAGGCCATACGACCAGTAGATCACGATCGACGTATTGGGAACCCCTGGTGTAGACCATGTATACATCGGAGTGGATCATGAAACAATACCGGGACCGGCGAGAAGAAAAAAAAAAGCTTGCATTTACGCGGTCACGTCGATGTATCGGATCGTTTGCAGTTGAATCGATAGAAATCGATGCATTGTTACACCCCTAGTTGCCACCCTATGTAAAAAAATTATATATATATATATATATATATATATATATATATATAATTTTTTAAGCAGAACCATAGAAGAGACAAATACATCTGTTCACTGATGGCCACAACAGAAATTTTCTGCAAGTGACACTGTTTGCTATGCAATATGTGCTGTTACTGTGTAAACCAATGATTTCTAACAACTAGTGGCACCACAGAAGAAGTGAGAGCAGAGTTTTTTTTCGAAGTAGAATGTTTACTATGTTACCGTGACAACTGTGATGTCAACATTCCGAAGGTATGCATTATTCAAATTCAGAAAAAAATTAACATCGACTGAGAAACACTGAAACATGAAGTGGTCCTCATTAAACTGCTTTTGGCCGTCAGTGGTGGCAGAGGAGGCTGGGGAGGCATTGGAAAGCCAAGAGGGCAAAGGAGAAAAGAAAAAAATGAAATTCTGGGCAAAGAAGTTTGCCTTTCTGAAAAAAAAGAAAGGAAGAAAATATGAAAAAGAAACATGTCAAACGAGAGAGAGAAATGAGACCCAAGCTGTGGTGGAGGAGGAGGTGGATGGACATTTGAGACTGGTGGAGAAGGAGACGGAGCCGAACAAAGCACCAGTAGAGGTGGAGGAGGACAGTTGTGAGGAGAAAAAAGCAAAGGTGATGCGGCTGGAAGCTGAGATCGAGGCAGTGCTGGATGACATTGAGGAGATGGAAAAGTCAATAAAAGAGACAGAGGCTCTGATCCAGGCAATTTTGGAGGACCTTGTAAGTGAAAGAGACAGTGGAGGAGATGATGCGTGACATCAAGGCAGTGGTGGCAGTGGTGGAATAAGGCAGTGGAGGAGGTGATGCGTGACATCAAAGCAGTGGAGGAAAAAGACAGCGGAGGAGATGATGTGTGACATCAAGGCAGTGGTGGCAGTGGTGGAAAAAGACAGTGGAGGAGATGATGCGTGACATCAAGGCAGTGGTGGAATAAGGCAGTGGAGGAGGTGATGCATGACATCAAGGCAGTGGTGGAAAAAGACAGTGGAGGAGATGATGCGTGACATCAAGGCAGTGGTGGCAGTGGTGGAATAAGGCAGTGGAGGAGATGATGCGTGACATCAAGGCAGTGGTGGAGAAAGGCAGTGGAGGAGGTGTTGCGTGACATCAAGGCAGTGGTGGAAAAAGAGAGTGGAGGAGATAATGTGTGACATCAAGGCAGTGGTGGCAGTGGTGGACAGTGGAGGAGAAGATCGAGGCAATGGTGGAGGTGATGGAAGATGAGATGAAAGCAGTGGTGGAGAAGGCTAAATAAAATCACATTAAATAATATGTAATAATAATAATAAAATGTAATAATATGTAATAATAAATATTACATTTAAAATCCTTTAACTTATGAATAAACCAACATAAAAATTGAGAGAATGGTGTTTTATTTGAATATATTCACAAGTTGATGTCATTAATTTCTCAAATGTCTAATAAAGGAGGTTCTGTCTCAGTAAGACAACGCCAAATCCAGAGTCTGAGGTAAGTGAAATCATGAGGTTTTTAAAGATCGAGGGCAGACAGGCTTCCTGCTTCTCATCTTAAGGGCTTGATTAGCTTTCTGGGACTTTTGCATACTACAATGGCTTGTATTAAGTTACGTGCGTATTGCGTCACGATTTCTGCGTAGCGGCCATTTTACCAGGTAATGGCAGAGACGTCTGCCGCACAGATGCATAAAGTTCTGTATTTCTTTTCAATGTTAAAGAAAGTTTCATATAAACTAAATGTATAGCGAGTGCTCAGGACTATGAAAAGCTGTATTTTGTAAAGGCAAATGGGACTGAGGCATTTCTTCGTATCATTTGAAGGAAGTAATTGCCACGTTTACACAATTAACCATAAAGTGTAAATGCAGGCGCAATGAGGCGCCGTAACGCTTTCTTAAATGATCATAATGCGTGAATTCCCAGCTTTGTCTTACAGTAGGGTACCGAACGTAAACTCAAGGAAACTGTTATTTAGATATACTAGGGTGACCAGATAATCCATGTCAGGGAGGACACTCTGAGCTAGTACAGGTATTGTAAATTACCATTTCAATTAAACGGACCTGGATTTCACTTGAGCACTGAGTTCTTGCTGTGTGCTGATTGGTCAGTCTCCTGTAATCATGCATGTTTCACTAATGCTAATGTGAAACAGCTGGATGAGTCTTTCAGTCAAGGAAATAAACCAGTCAAAGCACAAGAAGAGCTGAGCTATTTAGCCGAGCACAGAAGCCTTTCAATTTGAAAGTAGTTTGTAAAACCCGAAGTAGCTCAAAGTGTCCTCCCTGACATGGATTATCTGGTCACCCTAGATATACACTCAAAAATACAGACGGGACCAGCGACTGCGACGCAGATGATGTGCAACGTCAAGTTCACCAGTGGGTTATCCCTTTTACTCAAGCTCAGTGGCTATAAAAACTCCCACGTTTAGATGATATAAATTAACTTTGTCCTTAGGAACACAACTAGCTAGCCTGATTTATTGCTAATGAAGGTTTCCATATATGTACAAACCACAGGATGCCACTGCCTGAGCATGTCTGTTGAAATTAATTTAGAATACCACTATAGCCTTAGGAGGCTAACGAGTTAAGTTCTAGAGCACAGTATTGCTGTTTGCTAATCGTTCTATACTGACATTCAGTCAGCAATATATGCCTATTTTACTGCATATACTAATAGGCAATTTGCGCCGATCACCAGAGCAGCTTCTTTCCTTGGAATAATGCGAAGCATGGCGATAGGCTGTATTTAAGTCTGTAAGCCTAGCGATGCACGTTCTTAAAATGGCATTTTATTAAGTATTTTAAATACACATAATACAATCTCTATTTTGTTACAAATTAACCTACATCTGATTTTTCCCGTCCAGCGAAATACAAATTACAAAATGCTCAAAAGGAAATGAATACGCATTTTTAATGCATTTAACTGAAATACTGCCCATTCTCACAACACAGAACGTGCCACTTCTTGTCAGTATCGTCGTTCAAGTTCTTTCGATCGATGGATCTTAGGCAAGTTTTCTTTAACCTTTCCGGCAGCTCTTCGGTGTCTACCTTGATTTGTACGATCCGAAGGTATATAGAAGAAACTTGATTCGGGGTTTTCTTGCTGCTGTTATCACTCGCACCCCGGTAAAATGGCCGCCGCCTCGTTTTCAGTTATGCGTACTTTGGACAATGACGTCAACTTAATACGACCCATTCAAGTGACACAAAACATTAAACGCCCGACTACTAATTGTAAAAGAAGCAGGACGATCAGGTTCAGGACAGGGAACGGGCTTTCAGGTCAGGTCAAGGCAAAATACCCAGCTAAAACTAATAACGAACAGCCATCTACCTTCTAAAAAGTAATCCTTGTCAGGGTCACCAGCAGTCTAGTCCCGGCAGACACACGTGTGGTATAGATTATTATATTGTACATGTAGTAATCCAACTTTAGCTGACCAGATGCATGACTATTAATAATCCCGACTACGTATCTGCGCTGGATATCACCGGCACGCCACACGCCTTGTAGGCGGAGCTGCATGTCCGTTATAGCCGAACAAAACTACAGCTAAAAGCGGCCCTGGGGACCAAATTGTTTGTCTGTTATGAGCGAAATTCCGTTATATGAGAGTCCGCTATAACGGTACAAATTAAATTACTGAACTGTGTGTAATTCAAATATGTTAAAACACAGTACAGTACTGCACATGAAAAATAGCTTATTGTAGTTTCGCTGCTGCATCTCCGTGGCTCGTTTATAGCAGTTTATCATAAGCTTCGATGAGTCGATCCATATTTGTCACTTTTTTCCGTCATGTTTAATGCACGCAGCATTATCCTCAGGTAGCTACACAGAAGCAGACGGACTACAGCAAGGCAAAGTAGGGCCATCAAAGTAAAGTTAAAAAACATAGTTTTAATTTTTCCATATGTTGTCATGCTTAAATAGACACTGTAAGCAGACTACTTGACTACTACAAACGAATTATTTAAACAGTATTTCTGCAAAAATGATTCTGTCCCAAGTTTTTTGATACATATAGGTGGTTGATCATTATAACCGTGATCACTATAATGATCACTGTAACTTAACTTTACACCTGTAAATTATCGGCATTGGCTCCATTGAAAAGTTGCGGACGGTATGGAATGGGGTATACGCACTATTCCACTTCAGAACAAATCAGACATTGAATGAGACACATTCAAATGTAAAGTGATCAGTGGTGGCAAAAGAGACAGAGGAAGCAAGAGAAAGGCAGGAGAGCAAAGGAGAAAACATAAGAAAGAAATGAAAGAAAAAAAGTATGAAAACCAAAAAGAAAAGAGGGAGAGAGATGAGAACCACACTGCGGTGGAAGAAGAGAAGGATGGACACATGAGACTGATGGAGAAGGAAACAACTGAATAAAGCACCAGTGGAGGTAAAGGAGGATAGGAATTAAGATAACACGGCAAAGATGAAGGAGTTGGAGGCTGAGATCGAGGTAGTGCTGGAGGACATAGATGAGACAGAAAAGGCAATAACAGAGATGGACACTGGGATCCAGGCCATTTCGGAAGGACATTTTAGGTGGAAAAGACAGTGGAGGAGATGATGCTTGACAAAGGCAGTGGAGGTGTAAGTGGTGGAAAAGCAGTGGAGGACGAGATCAAGGCAATGGCGGAGGGGATGGAGGATGAGATGAAGGCAGTGATGGAGGAAGTTGTCTAATACAGGAGGTTCCAATCACATTCTATCTCAGTAAGATGCTGCCAAATCCAACTTCTGAGTTAACTGAACTTGTGAGGTTTTTACAGCTGAGGGGCAGATATGCTTCTTAGTTTTTGTTTTAAGGGCTTTATTAGTCTTCTGGGACTTTTGCATAGTACAATTCATGTGGCACAAAACATTAAAATCCTGACTGTACTAAATGCAAACGAAGCAAGTTAAAAGAGAATCGTGTTCACAACAAGAATCAGGACTTCAGGTCAGATCAAGGCAAAACACAGAAGAAAAAAAGGAAAGGAGATATTAACCAATAGCCATCCACCTTCCAAGTGCTACTCCTGTGGCCTGTAATACGAATTGGGGTTACTGGCTTATCGGGGTAACTTGTCAGATTTAAGGTACCACAGTTTAAATGGACTTCATATTCGTTCACTTACAATTTGCCCAGATGACCTTAAATCCGACAAGTTACCCCGATAAGCCAGTAACCCAGCTTTGTAGTACAGGCCCCTGGTCAGGGTCACCTGTAGCATAGTCCAAGTAGCTTAGGATACAAGTCAGGAATACTCTACTTGGATGTGTGGTGCACACTCACCCACACACACACACACACACATTCATATGTTTGTGGTGACCATCCATTCATCTCTATGGGCATAACCCTAACCCCAGCAATGACTCCTACCCAGCCCTAACCGGAACCTTAAGTAACAAAACCGAATACAAGACTTTTTTTGATTGCACAGATTTTTATAAAATGTAGTTTGCCCTTGTGGGAACTAAAAAAAAATGGTCCCCACAACATTAAAATAACAGAATCTTATCACATTGTGGGGACATTTGGTAATATATACATGAGCCACAAAGACACACACACACACATACACTCTACCTGCAACTTAGAGATAATATTTCACCCAACGGCTTGTCATTGGACTGCAGGAGATAGGACCAGAGCAACAGAGGGAGGAGTTGTAAACTGCACACACAGCATCAGGATGAAGGTGTGAGGTGATTGTGCCTGCTAAGTCAGTTCCGTTCATTCCTCATATCCATCCATCCATCCATTTAAACACTTTTTCTGGTCAGGGTTATGGGGGCCTACACAGGGCCTGGAAGAGATGCCAGTTGAGCTGAAATATCCATGATGAAATTATTCAGCAAGATACTAAGTTTAGGATTAATTCATTAAAAACTAATGGCGCCAAATGACAGCTTGAACGACTACATCAGAAGTCACATGATCTAATTATCCCTGCACTCTCTCTGTCTAGGCGCTCCAAGATGAAGAGATTGTACATCCTGCATCGATGGTGAATTTCGATCAAAGGCACAAATGCATGAATCCTGATGAGATGCCGCTTGAACCAGCTGTGTTCAGGCTACAGGTGCACTGCCCAGCCCTGTTGCTACCTTCCTAGACTAAGCACTGAAGAAAAAATATCTTCTGTAAGTAAAAAATTATGGTTAATGTTTTAGAACATATAGCAATAAATTATAGAAATAGGACATAAAAGTCTTGCGTGTAAATGCAGGTATGCTCGAGGCAGACACACAGTTCCTCTGCACTGCACTGTAGGTTTTCCTGGTACAGTAAATCACGGGCCCACGTCACATTTGTGTCGTTTGTGGGAATTTCATTGTTTCATTTTACACTCCAAAAGCCACACACAAAAAACCCTGTTGATTCTGCTAAACGGATCAACCACTGAGACTGTCCTGAAAGACCACCCCTCCCCAGTCCCGATCAACCTCGTCAGTATGAGAAAAGAGATCGTTTTACCTCCGTCAGCTGTGGTGGTTCCTCCGAGTCCCAGTGCTGGGGGATCCTCGGTGGTCAGGTTGGTGCAGGGAGAGGGGGGCAGTGGGGGGGGTTTCTTGATGCAGTCTGGGCGAGTGCTGCATCCTAATAAGCATCAGAAGGCGTCCCTCACTCTGAAGTAGTGCTGAGTCTGTATGTGTTGGCTGGGCTGGGCTGGGCTGGGCTGGGCTGGGGGGGGGGGGGGGCACCGGCTGGCTGGGGGTCAGCAGCTACTGCGTGTGTTTGGGCTGGCTCTGCCCAGGGCCTCCCCCATGGTTGCCCACAGCACTAGGGGCCCGGACGGAGCAACCGACAGGATGGACACATCCCAGGGGGAGGAGCTAACCCAATCACAGCGCTCGAGGCAGGGGGCCACTTGCCCGGATTCCCCCCAGGCCGCTTTTCCAGCCCTGCATCCAAACTGCTGTTGGGTGTCCTCCTTTTTCTTGTTCTCCTTTTCCCTCCCCGCTACGCGCCTTCCTGTCAGCAACGTGCATTATTGTCTCCCACAAAAAACACACAAATCACATGCACACACACACTACAGAAGCTGAGAACAGCCGTGCAATAGATATACCAGCTTCTATACCATATGTTTGAATTAACATACACCCCCCAAATCAACAACCTTTGTCGTGCGTTTTGCCTGTAGAGTCCTGCCAGTGGTCACGCTATCTGTAGGGGCCACAAACATTACCGACGACAATGTACCGTGTGTCTGTAGCATGTTGCTGAAATGCCATTTTGAGGAGCTCATGCAGTTATGCACCAATAGTAACAGTGCGTTAATCTGGCCTGGTCTGAGCTGTTTGTTCTGTATTGACTGAAATGCTCTCTCTGTAGCTGCCTTTCAGTCACGTGACCAAGCCTGGTCCTCACCTTAGGGTACCTTGGGTGTTAGTCTTCATCCAGTCATTTGTGGGGGGATGGTCAGCATTGATCTTTGCCAGGCACTGAAATGAGCATTTTAGTCATTGTTGGTACAGAGACTTTCCTTCTGTAATAATCTGTGGTCATATGTCTAATTAACCACCGGTACAAGTGAAAATTCATTATAAATCATGATTTTTGGCTGCAGTTTATATTCTGTTGTTCTATGCTTCAGATGCCTGTCGTCATCTTGGAAGAGTGCAATGCAGATCTGTAGCAGTGCCTTTGGCAACACCTAAGCACTCTGTGAAGTACTGGGATGGAGTTTATTTTTGCACAGTGCAGGGAGAGCGCCATCTAGAGGACTTGAGCATATAACGCAGACTGGCTCTTGAAGAAGGCGGTCTGAGGCGGTGGGGGTTTGGTGAGAGAGAATAGGTCTCGGTCCTACTATAGTCCACAGTCATTGACTGGGAATGTTGCTTAAGGAGAGTTCTGAATAATTGCTGATGAAAATATTGCATGTTTTTACTTTATTTGTATTTGTATTATTGTATTATTAATGTGTTGCAATGCTTGTGTTTATGTCTTTGAGCCCTTGTCCTTAAAAGGTTTTTTTTTTAACTTAATAAGAATTTTGTTCTTAGTGACTTGCCTGGAAAAATCATGGTTAAATTAAAAAATATTAAATTGTTTAAATTGCTTAAAATTTATTTCGATCGTAAGATCATGTTATATCTGCGCTTTTTAAATTGAACCGGGAGACGATAAGTGGAACTGTTGATTTATTGTCTGTAGTGGTTACAGTGGGTTTTTTCAGTTATATATTATTGTTCTTATGAAAAGACCTCCACTTTAATCGTGTAGTACATCATAAAAAAGCTGCTGACAAAATCAGGAGCAGTAACATCCTTAACTGCCCTAATAATTGCATCTGTTGGGCAGAGACCTTCCTCTGTAGCAGTGCAATTTATCCATCAGTCAGTTTCCAGTAACCTTTAATTTCATTAGGATTGCTGTGACCGCGATATATTCAGCACTGTCCAATAGTCTTAGGACATCACAGAAAATGTTTAAAGCTATTTATCTGGGCAGTAAGTATATACTCACAATAATAAATAGCAAGAAGTTCATGTTGGACAGCTAGATACACACCGCTTCAGTTCCCAAACCAGAAGGGCACCCCAGCCATTCTGTGTATCAGTTAAATCTCATAACCAGCTTATTTCATTAATTAACTTAATTAGTTAAGTAATTTGATGAGGTATTGATTAGCCAAGCATGGTCTGCTTGCGGTTGAGTCAGCAAATACACGGGTATATTAGATTTTTACTGCAACTACTGGGGTGACTTTAGGAGAAAACGCTAAGCTGACACTTTAACAGACATAATATCATAGTTTTACACCAACATTGTTGTCTTGGCAGCCTAAGACTTTTGCACAGTATTTCCCATTTGCTGACAAGCTGCTTTAGGATAAAGTGACATTATGCCTAAGAGCTCCGTGTCGCCCCATGGTGGTTAAATACTATTGCATTTTGTGGGTGACATAAAAATTTGACTATAAGAAGCCAAACCATTAAAATTAAATTTATATAATTTGCAGCATGAGATTAGAATATTATCTTAACTGAATGTGCAATTAAATCAGAGTAAATAAAACATGTATCCAGGTGCTTTATTTTTGCTGTATGTTTATACATTTATTTATCATTTCAAAGCTTATTTTAAATGCAATCTGATTATAAAGTCTATAATGTCTCTGCTTTGAGCTGCGCTTATTGTGACCTGCAGCTCTTGGCAAAGTCCTACGTCCATTTGCAAATGAATCTGAAACTCCCAGAATGCTTTTCTCATCAGTCATTTTGAATCCAGCATCCTCATACAAATACTACTACCCTTTATGGAATCAGTAGCCTAATCAGCCATTTTTTTTTTTTTACAAAGTCATGTATTATTTTAACTTTTTTTGTCTTTGATATGCATTGCTCTCTTCAGTGTGTATTATGTTAAACAGGCAGCTAACCTTGGTGGTATATAAATAATGGAGAGTGGTGGTGGTGTTCAGGGTGAGGAATGGAAAGGGGATTGTTTTTATATATTATCTTAAATCATAAAAAAGAAAGCAAATATATATATATATATATATATATATATATATATATATATATATATATGTGTGTGTGTGTACAATATATACATGCACTCACACACACACAAAGGGGACCAAAAAATGTGTACACCATTCAACAAAAGAGAAACCTGTGTTAAAGTACTACTAAATTTATAGCAATATTAGGCGATGAATTTAAGTCACCAAAGTGGTTACCTTGAGCGTCCAGAGATTATATCCTAAACCTACAAAGAATTTAATAAATGTATGTATGTGTTTAATTTTTACCAGTCTGCTCATTTACATGTAAAGCTCTCTGAAAACCTTTTAATTAAACCGAAATTACATTTTTATGAAAGTAGTTTGGGTTTTCTGAGATATGTGTATTTTAAAATCAGAGGCGGACATTTCAGGTCCAGGAAGTAAAAATCCAAACCAGGATTTTGTTTCAACCAACCAGTTGAGCATAAAGAGCCACAGTCACAGAGTACTCAACTGGTTGGTTGAAACAAAATCCTGGTTTGGATTTTTACTTTCTGGACCTGAAATGTCCACCTCTGTTTAAAATACAGTAACTCCTTCATTTACCAGACCCCGATATAATAGGATTCAGGTTTAACAGTCAAAATTGTACACTGCTATGTATTTTGTCAGTCGTGCTGCGAATGTAACTTATACATAGATCATTTTGATGTCCATCCATCCATTTTCTGCTGCTTATCTGGGGTCGGGTCGTGGGGGCAGCAGTCTAAACAGGGATGCCCAGACCTCCCTCTCACCAGCCACCTCCTCCAGCTCCACCAGGGGAATATTAAGGAATTTCCTGGCTAGCCAAGAGATATAATCTCTCCAGCACGTCCTGGGTCTGTCCCGGGGCCTCCTCCCAGTGGGACATGCCGGAAGCACCTCCCCAGGGTGGCTTCCAGGAGGCATCCTAGATAGATGCCCGAACCACCTCAACTGGCCCAAGGCATATTTGTTTGTATTTACCTACAGTACTTATGTGTGTAATGTAAGGGTGTGTGTGGCTTTTTTATCATATGGTATAATTAGAATATGTTTGACTCAATATAATTTTATCACAAATGCATATTATAAAAAGCAATAATATAAAAACAAAAAATATTACAAAGGACATGAAAAGTGGTGCTGAAATCTGGTATTAGAGGCCTAATTAATTTAATAAACGCTTTCATGATAATGCCATTTCTCAGAATACATTTTGACCACCTTCAGAAAGACTGCTGTGTCTTTTCCCTGTACAATTTTGTTTGTTTGTGTTTTTTTGCTAAGCCTAAACTTTTGCAGCAAATCGTTGTGTTATTATGACATTTACTGCTTCTATTTCCATACATATGTTTGTAGTAAAAGGCAAACATACATGCAATCGTAAATGTGACCCTAACCCTAACCCAATTTTCTATTTAAATATTTTTAGTACCTTGTACCATTACAAGAAACAAATCTGCACTTTGAAGTTATTTTTTAAGTGTATTGCAGTACAGTATATTGAAAGTTCAGAACGTCATGTACATTAAAAATGTAATATCGGCGTGTTATGTCAAATTTTCAGTAAACACGATGCTTACACATGGCAAGATTATTGGAAACACATGTCTGTTGTGCTAAAAAGTCATGAACAGACATTTATCAGCTATTTAAAAACATTTTCCCAGGGAAGTTTGCCATTGGTCCACCCTAGTAAAGACTCAGCTCCCCTCTCCATTCATCTCTAACTACACCCCTGATGGAAACCTTTTCATTTTTGGGTTCTACAGTCTCGCCAGGACATGAAATGGGAGAGCAACACCATCTCCATCCCAAAAAAAGCTCATGATGACATACTTCATGCGACAGCTGAGGACGTTCAATGAGCCCTGGTAGCTAATGGCCTGTTCTCATGTCGCCGTCACAGTCTAGTTCAAATTGAGCACAAACGAATAGTCAAGTGTGCAGAAAAGACCAGTGGTGCTAATCTGCCCACCCTTCAGGACCCGAGTCAGGAAACGAGCAGGGAAAATAGTCACAAATCTCTCACTCCTAGTCCACAACCTCTTTGAACTTCTCCTATCCAGTAGCTGCTACAGATCACTGCGTGCCAAAACAGACAGGCACAGGAAAGGATTTTTTCTACAAGGCATCACTCTTGCGAACAGATGACCCAACTGCCTCAGCTCAGATGTACAGTTGCACACACCCCCCCCCCCACAGATAAGCAATACCTCATTGCTATAAATTACTCACTGTACTTGTTTTGTACATTGTACATTGCCCATTGTTTTGTGCACTAATACCAGCTGAGATGCAATCCTGCACATTTTACACATTTATCAGCAACACATCCACATTGTATATATCAGTCAGACTGTATGTAAGCATGGTCTAATCTGGACAGTGTATGTATCTGCTTTATGTATATGAGCCATTGATAGCCAAATACAAATTCTCTCTGTTTTTTTTTGCGAACGTACAAAATAAATTTTTATCAAAGATTTTGATTAAACCAGGGGTCTCCAACTCTGGTCCTGAGGAGCTACTGTCCAGCAGGTTTTCTGTCCTACTTGGCTTCTGATGAGCTACACCTGTTCTCAGGTAAATACCAGGAACAGGTGTGGCTCATCAGAAGCCAGGTAGAATAGGAAAACTACTGGACAGTATGTTTCCGGCAGGTCAAAGCTTTGCCGTTCATATACAGTAAATCGATTACCCTCAGTTGCTTTAGTGTGGTTTAATTGGCCTTTTATTAGACTGGTATAACCCTAACACCTAACCCTAACCCCTAACCCTAACCCTCACACCCTGCACTGCACAAAACACCCCCTGGTACATCATGGCCCTGACAGGACAAGAGATAAATGGTTTTATCTGCAGGATAATGTGCATAAACTAAAGACACTGACTGAAGCACTATGCACCAGTCTGAGCAGCACCACCCACGCAGCGCCCCTGAAGCACCAAGCATCAGTCTGACCAACACCAAATACGCAGCGCCCCTGAAGCACCAAGCATCGGTCTGACCAACGCCAACCACGCAGCGCCCCTGAAGCACCATGCATCAGTCTGAGTAGCACTGCCTACACCCGTGGCTACTTTCCAAAGCAAAATTATCCTATCAGATCTTAAAATTTCCCCACCTTCTTCTCATTTATTTTTTGGCTTCTTTGCCCCATCTGCAGTCCTCCTTCGAGAGGAACCCCGTTCTCTCCATGACAGACCCCACCAGGGAAAAACTCCCCCATGCTTTCAATGTCCCAGGTGTTTCCCCACAGATGTCCTGCAGATTTTTCAAAATCTGTAGCACAATGGAAACATGCCTTATATGGAAGAGGGCGGGCCAAAGTTCCAAACATACATGAGTATGAGAAAAAATACTCAACCGGAGCCGGATTCTCCACCACCAGAGGGAGCCCTAACAAATCCTTGTTGATATGGATAGTGTTTTGTTCAGTCCAAACAAAGGTTAGGGCTTCAGTTAATCACCTAACAGAAAGAGACAAGTGTTTTTACAGAGAGGGCTGCTATCATAATTTCTGGCACTTCCCTAAGTCACCAAAACGACCCATTGTCAGCAGGCATCAAAACAGACATTTTCTAAGTCTTTGAAGTTTGAGGTGAAATGAGGTGTAACCTACTGTAGAATACAAACATTGTGAGTTTTCTGCTGCATCATGTAATATCAGCTTGAATGTTCTTGGTAAAAATAGTTCAAGGGTCTCACTAAAAATCTCCTCCATTTCACAGTAATAGCTTGAAATGACCGTTAAGTTACCCGACAGTTTCTCATGAATCGTAGAATGATATCAGGTGACCTTCAAAAGGAATGGGAACCATTAAGTGCAGGTATGAGGTGCACAGATAGGACAGTGTGTATCAGGCTCCTAGAAACACGATCCCATAAAGTCCCATAAAGCATGGAAGAAGCCCTTCATTAATGAGAAACAGGGAAGAGCCAAGCTGCAGTTTGCTATCTATCTATCTATCTATCTATCTATCTATCTATATATATATATATATATATATATATATTCACAGGCATACACCCATAAATTGAAGGATTTTCTGCTGTATTTTTCTTGCTTTGCCTATAGATGATAAACTGCAAATAAATGTATGAATGCATGTAATGATGTTGGAAACATCAAGGACCCTTAACTGGTGTCTCTGATGCTGTTCAGAATGAAACATGATGGTGTAATCCTGCAGGTGGCCATCCTAGTTATACCCTAAACCATCAGACTGGGGTGGGTAGCAATATTCCCCCCACCTCCAAAGCTGGCCGCTCCAATCCTGCCCCTGCTGTGTGTGTCGAGTATTTCTCCGCCTACTCCGATTTACTTCCACAGTCCAAAAAACATGTGAAATTGTCTCTTTAGGTAGCTTATTGTGTATCTGTGTCCTGTGATTGACTGGCATCCCATCCAGGGTGTTCTTATGCTGGGCTTGCATTTATTTTTTCATATCTTTAATAATTCAATTAATAATATTATCTATAATATCCAACGGTTTCGCAATAACAAGAGAAGACGGGACGGCCAAATATCAAAAAACATGTATTATTTTAAACCACCACTAGAGGGATACAGCATCCACAACAAATGTAAATATCACAAGTTAGTAGAAACTCGATATACAGCACAAATTTCACATTCAGTGTCTTTTGGTTTGAAAATGTTGCATGTTGTTTCTTTAATTTAATTAATTTTAATATCTTGATAAATAATTTCACATTAAAAACTACCACTGACTTTGTAGTCAATACATAACACCAAACCGTCGCCCGAGGCACTGATTTGCAGTTTTTTTCCCACAGGAATCTGTTGTGCATGATAAACATTTATATTGCAGAAAAGTAACAAGAAAAAATACTGTAACAGATCGGTCGGTCGTTATTGGCAGGTCAATGGCCATTTACATAAGATTATAAAGCAAACTGTTATCCATAATTCTTAACACACTTGACTGTAAATGCGCTTGCTGATGCGCAAATCCGCAAAACGCTCTTGAATTATGGGAATCGATAAAGAACGACGGCTGTTTGAGCCAATGATAAAAAGTCGTTCCTCGGACCTCTTCCAACCAGCGCTGGGTATCGCTACGTAAGTCCCGCCCACTTAGACGCGCTCCCTGAATTACCAGGGAGAGAAAGAAGTTTGCGTTCGGTGTTACATCAGGAACCAGTAAAGAAGGTCCCGGTGTACTTATATTTGCTGGTGAAGTGTAAGATTTGGGCGATATTAACAGTGGACAAGTCCTGGACATTTGAGGGGATGACTGGGAACAAACATTACTTTGAGGCAATGTTGGTTTCCACTTGTTGAACTGTCACCGGGCACGGAAGAGTATGAATTGTACTGGGGAGCGCACGCTTTGATCAACCCTCATTTAAAGGTAAGGCACGGAAGAGGACGAGCTGTACGGGGGCGCACACGCTTCGATCAGGCAGCCTTTAGAGGTTTCCTACGCGCAGCGCAAGAACGGGAGTACAGCGATGATCAGGGAACGTTTTTTTTAATGGTTACAAGTTCATAAAGTTGCATTGCAAACGGCGGGTTTCTTTCAATTGGGAGTGTGCCAGTAAAAATGCCAGTAAAATTGTGATCATTAGAGTTGTGTTGACATGTCAGTCGTTCTCTACTTTACTGGTAGTCTGTCCATGTTATGTCTTGTATCAGGTATTCTAGATACTCAGCGGTCCGTTATAACATGCATATAAATCAATGATGTTCTTCGTTAATAAATTTGTAATATGCTGCTTCAAATTACATGTCAGTTTCACGGTGTTGTAGTCGGGTTTGGGGTTCCGGGATGACAGTGTAGCACTGGGCATTACTGTGCCAAATCTCAGCCGATCTGGGTCCTGTCCAGTGACCTTTGACAAAATGAACTTGACTCAGATTTATATGACGATTATGATGATGGTGAATATGGGTGACTTTAAACAGTCAATAACAAGCGATTAAGCTTAATTATTAAGACAAAAATAAGATCTTTAGTCTGTTTTGTGAAAAATTATGTTTGTGTCACTTATTGCCGCTAAACATACTTCCTTCTCAACCGTGTCTGTGGGTTGGTCGGTGGTTGGTTGTGTCTGAAATCAAGTCTACACACCATCACAACAAATCTCTTTTTGAGTGGTGAAACTGAAAATTTATTTTAGGAAGTTAACACTTCTTCCATTCTATAAAAACCACATCTTCTCTTCTGTGTGAAACTAATTTTGTTACCAGTATGACATCTTCGGTGGAGCCCATCCAATAAAATTGTGTCACTCTGGAAGTTTTGAGAATATGAAATTCACTGTATCAGCAATATACATGTTGTCAAGGACTGACACTCACTTTACAACTGGTTGTGCTGCTTATCTTTGATTTCCGGTGGCGTTCTGATATATGTGGTCTTGAGTTTGTGTCTCTAAAGGCTGTGGATCTGGTACGTCCCTATTTTTTGCCCCCCAATGAATATTCCTGTGCCATCTGTTGATGTGACATGAAGGAAGTTTTACGAAACTACAGTGGAGGTTGGCAGCAGTGGGGAAACAGCGAGGTGCTTTTGTAAGGTAGTCATGGCGACGAAATTTGTTTTAAAAGACGTTTTGATGCTTTCAGGTGGCCTTTCAGAATTGCTAGTTCTCAAAACCGTACTTACGGCACAACGTGATGGCAGTGTACGTTTCAAAAAGGCAAATGGTTTAAAAAAAAAATGCTTTGGACTAAGGTTTCGCAAGAGGACAATGGATGGATTGTCAGTTTCATCCACAGGAGACAGGGAAACAGCATCATTCTTCTCAGCTCTTTTGTATGACTGAACTTCACATCACAAGTAATCACTCAGAGAGAGGTCATAGAGGAGAAACCTGCAGGATCTCAGGACAGACGCTGTTTGATTACAGATAGAACATTACGGATAGTATTTACTGGGAGAGGCTGAGTTTCTCCATGCAGAAGTTTTTGCTGCTTTGACATCGTGACCCTTTTGAGTGTCACCATGTTAGTAGTGAGGCACAGGCAGGGAGGATAAGTACTTCTGGCTTTGATGGGTTCAGTCCTGAATGGTGGTTAGTCATCAAGGCTGAGATGTTTGCCAGGTATGTGCTGATTCAGATAGATAGATCTGTTGGCAAAGCGAAAAACTCTAGCTCTAATTTCCATCATAGCAATGAGAGAAGGATCTGATGGTCAATTCTATTGAAGTCTGCAGACTGATCCTGGAGTTTGAGGATGGAGGAGACTTAGCTGCTGTAGTAGAATGATGAACCCCAGATATGGAGAGATGAGTTACCAGGTATGAATTCTGAGTGTTAATGAAGCGGAGATTCTGGGGTTTTGGTGAAGAATACTGGAGAGCTGATTACCAAGAGAACATTGAAGAGATTAGGGATTAGTGAGTAATTCTGAACAAATCAAGATCAACAAGTTGTTGGGCTTGAAATGTAAGCTTTGATGTAAGTGGTGTTTTAAAAGTATAATGTAATATCTGTCACAAATGATGATTTTTTTTTTAGTTCCACACTTTTAATGAGTGATTTTTGGAGTCTTGAATAAGGTGGTCACTACTGTGATAGCTAGCTTGACCTTTGTTCCCATCTGCTGATTGAGGAGAGCAGCATAGTGTGTGGAACATTCCGGTGCTTCTCCCATTTCCCTCCCACCACAGCTGTGCTTCATCTCCCAGGGCGCCGTTTTTACACAACCACCTAACTGTCATGCTGTAGGTCTTGGTCCTAGATTTACTGCCCGCCTTAGTAACAATCCCAAGAATGACCACGATCGCACACATTCAGCTTTGAAGATTTCTTGCAAATTCAGATCACGGTGTTAGCTGACCGACCTTCTGCTCGAAGCATGCGAGGACAGCTGTGTTTTGCAATGTGTTCACGCTCCTGCCGGAACTGATCAGCCCACCGATGTCTACAAAAGTACAGCTGAAGTCTTGGTTAATTATTGCTCAATAGTTACTCGTCAGTCACTCCTGAGTGCAAAACTCAACCGTTACATGTAAAAATATGGTACTGTTGGTGGTAATGTAACACGAAGGACATGAATGCTTTGGGTTTCTGGAGTATAATTTATAAATAAAGACAAACTTAAGTTCTAGATAATTTATGTCTAAAAAGGATGAAATGAGTAAAACATTTTTTGTAAGAACAATGGCACAAACCTCAGATCTGTCTTCGATTTCAATTTAGTCATGATCTGTTTTTAAAGACCACAACAGCATGTAGTATTAATGTTGGGGCGCTCGCAATGTGGTCATTTATAGCTATTCGTATCTACTTAGAGCTGCAGTAATTAGGTTGGAATCTGTGGACGTCTGCTCCCTGCTAAGAGTAGATTATGAGGTGGTTTTTGTTATTAGGATTCTCTCCACGCTGGTTGAAGGTGTGTTTCCCAGTTCCCCGTCTCATTCCTAATGTCTGCCGCTGTTTATAATACACTCGTGGTCTTCTCGTTTTGAAAGCCCATTGTAACCACTTCGTACATTCCTGTTTTTCCGGTTTGACGCCGTTTTCCCTCTCGCGTGGCTCTCCCAATGCTTGCTGAGAATACTCCTCCTGCCCAGCAACTTCCTCTGCTGAAATTGTCCAGACGGCATTGTGGGAAAATCACACGTTTTCTTTTAAAACAAAGGCCTCGCACCGTGATTGTGCCTTCCTCGCAGATGTTTGGGATAGACTGGAAGTTAAGAAGGCTGCATGTTTTGGTCATGGTGACTCTGGTGAAGTAAAGGCTAAGCAGAGGCAGTGTTGTAATGATGGAACTCTTAGACACAACCTGTACGACTATGGTGCTAAATCAGGGCCAACAGTTCTGTTAATTTGAGAAAAAAAAATTCAGGTTTTAATGTCGATCTATAAAAACCACAACAATGCAATCAACCTAAAAATTCTTGAATTTGCTTTTGGTTGCACAATAACTTTGATTAAGTTCTGGATTTATTTTTTTTTCTTCATTTTTCATTTTCACATATTTTGATATTTGATGTTTTATTTTTTTCATTTGCAATTTTTGTTTTCAGTTAAATTTTTTTTAGTTTCAAATCTAATTTTTCGGTTTCAGACCTTTAGCACTGATTTTGCTGGGGGGCGTGGCCTCAGCTAAGAGGGGCGTGGCATCAGCTAAGAGGGGCATGGCATCAGCTAAGAGGGGCGTGGTATCAGCTAAGAGGGGCGTGGAATAATGAGTAACAAAACAGGCCGAGGACCTTCGTCATTGCCTTCGGTATCAACTTGCACTAGATATGAACTACCAAGTCGACAACCATATATGGTATCTTTCGTTCATTAATATGTAGATCTAGAAAACGTAGTGGTGACAGGAAATACTGTTGGCAATTGCCCAGCATTTGGGGCATGCAGATGTCACAGTCGCCTGATGTTGGAACCAATGGGCACGTGAGGGCACCCACACACGTGGTGAAGGTTCCAGTTGACCAAGACACACCAAGGGAGGATTGTCGTATTATGTGCCAAGCATTACAGAACCCCATGACATCTGTGCCTGCCATCCGGACACCGACATTGGACTCTCTACAACGTCCTGTGTAATCCCACACCGTGTCTCGTCACCTGGCATCAGCCAGACTCCAGATTCACCGTCCCACGTGTACGCTGCCGTGAACACCAGCGTAGAGACGGCTGCATGGACTGATGATGAGTGGCATCGTACCATGTTCAGTCATGAATCTCAGTTCTTGATTACCATGGATGCTGGTCGTGTGCGTATGGTGGCGCCGAGGGGAGTGGACCAATCCTGCCAATGTTGCGGAGAGACACAATGCCGTTACTCCTGGCATCATGGTGTGGAGTATGAGCATTGTGCCCAGCAGTGTGCCCATACTGCCAACTATGTTGTCCGTTTGATCTGTTATTATAATCATTGCAATACAGTCACATGACCTTTTACCGCATGCAGATTTCCAGTGATCTGTCTGGGTGCTTAACTTTTTTAGTCACTGAGTGTACATTAGCAACTTACATAGTTGGAACCATGCAACTGAATGGGTCCGGCATCTTCCTGCCACAGATGCGTTTCGGTGCTGAAGTGAGTCTAACGCAGGGGTGCCTAACCCGTTGGCGTTTTTCCAGGTAGATCGCGAGATGATTAATGTGTACTACCTTATTTCATTGGTGGCCAACCGGTTAATCGAAGTTGGCAAAAGGGGAGCATCGGCAAAATATACTGTTGTTATTCGGTAGACGCACCCGATTCTGATCGCACTGAATGGCTATTCGACAGTTGAAAACTAAAAGAACTATTAAATGTGCAAATAGTGTTTAGATTTATGGATGTCACTATTACGGATTGTACGTGTTAATGAACGAAATACCATATATGGTTGTGGCTTTGATATTTCTGATCTAGCTCAAGTTGATACCGAAGGCAATGATGAAGGTTCTCAACCTCAACCTCATTATTCCACGCCCCTCTTAGCTGATGCCGCGCCCCTTATCTGATACCACGCCCCTCTTAGCTGATGCCACGCCTCTCTTAGCTGATACCAAGCCCCTCTTAGCTGATGCCACGCCTCTCTTAGCTGATACCAAGCCCCTCTTAGCTGATGCCACGCCCCGTTATCTGATACCACGCCTCTCTTAGCTGATGCCACGCCCCCTTATCTGATACCACGTCCCTCTTAGCTGATGCCACGCCCCTTGATCTGATACCATGCCCCTCTTATCTGATGCCACGCCCCCTCTTAGCTGATGCCACGCCCCATCTTAGCTGATGCCATGCACCATATTAACTGATGCCACGCCCCATCTTAGCTGATGCCACGCCCCATCTTAGCTGATGCCACGCCCCCTGATCTGATACCATGCCCCTCTTATCTGATACCATGCCCTCCTTATCTGATGCCACGCCCCCTTATCTGATGCCACGCCTCCTTATCTGGTGCCACGCCCCCTTATCTGATACCACGCCCCTCAGCTAAATCAGTGCCAAAGGTCTGAGACTGAAAAAAATATGATCTGAAAGCACAAAGAGATCAGAATGTGAAAAAGATCTGAAATCAAAAAAATTTTTTGTAAAAAATAGGATCTGAATCTGAAAACAAAAAAATTGCAACTGAAAAAATAGGACCTGAAAAAATAACTTGTTTTTTAGTTTGAATACATTGTTGTGTTTTTTTTAAAGTTGAGCATCAAAATCTTGAACTTTCAATTTCAGTTATTTTTTTCAAATTAACAAAACTATTGGCCCTGATTTAGCACCGTATATGACCTGTATTGGAGAGAATGACTGCAGGGTGTGAGTTGGTTCAGATAAACTGAAACTAAACTGAACTGTAGAAGAAACTAATCAGCATACACATAAAAGATCAACATAAGGTCATCATGGGTTATGTGGGCCTTTGCTAAAGTATCTTTTATTTGCCCCTATGGATAAATATGGATAGGCATTTTATATTTTCAAACTTCTCAGGTTAGTCCAGTATAAAACATACAGCCTCTCCCCAGGTTACGATGAGGTTACGTTCCGACACACTTATTGTAAGGCGAAAATGCATTTTAATACAGTACACCTAACCTAACAAACATCACAGCCGAGCCTGTAGGTTCCTTGTTCATGTTTAGAACACTTACATTAGCCTACAGTTGGGCAAAATCATTAACACAAAACCTATTTTGTAATTAAGTGTTGAATATCTCGTGTAATTTATTGAATAATGTTCTGAAAGTGAAAAATATTTACCCATCGTAAAGTTGAAATATTGGCATTGTAACCTGGGGAGTGTCTGGATACTACTCTTAATCACTGCCTTGTAAGTATAGTACAACTGTACTGAGAAGGAAAGGATATTTCATGACAGTTTTAAAATTTGTTATCCACTGTGACATTTACTACTGTCCTTTGCCCTCAGAAATGCATTTTTACAGTGGAGTAGACACTGCTGTCTTTGCTGTGAATTGTACCCTGTATGTTAGCTGTTCTGAGTATTTGTAGCTTGAATGTCATTGTGTTCTGTGTGGAAGGAGCTCTTGTTTGGCCATTGACCTGTAGGCCCCTCACTGCTGTTCCTGTCACTAGAGGTCAACCGATCAATTGGCCAAAAAAAAATAAAAAATCAGCTGGTGTTTACGCATTTTATTTCATTCGTCATTGAGTGATTAATCACACTACACTGGCGATATAGTGATAGCTGCATGTGGCTGCGCATGGCTGCATGACTGGTGCGCAGCCTTGCAGAGCGCTCACTTTGTCAGTGTTTCAGTGTGGTTTATCAGCACCTACAGTAGTGAACCTGTGCAACAAGGGCCCCCCCCCCCCCCCCCCCCCAAAAAAAAAAAAAAAGAAATCGGCATCAACCACTGAAACACCCACATGGGTCGACCTCTGCGTGTCCCCCGTCGTGTCTCTACGGGTCAGCTGGGCTCCTTCAGCAGTGCCGTCCCTGGCCCGTCCCGTGGCCCTGCTGGCTTTCCGTAGCCGGAGCGCCGGCCAGGCACTCAAGCCCCCTGGGACACGGCACACCTGAAATCCTCTGTTGTCTGTCTTTGTAGGTTGAATGTGGGAGTAGCTGGAAAATAAGAGCCTTTCAGAAGACGGTGGATTCTTCTGCTGGTAAGACACACTTCAGTTTGATCTTATGGGTTACACCTAGACTCCACATGATGGGACAGTGGTCTGGTTTTATTGTGAATTGGTAGTTTTGTTAAATGTGATGCATTGAAACCTTGTGTTTGAGTCTGCTGTGGTCAGTTGTTCACTTAAACTGAGTCTGGTGTGACCGGATTTTTGTTTTAGTAATAATAATAATAATAATAATAATAATAATAAACAAAGCCATTGGGAATCTGTCATTAATTTCACATATATTATTGATCATTTTGAAGACAAAATTCACGGAGTACTGTGTCCTCGAACTTCAGCTGATGGATGCCATCCGGCACTTTCTTCACATTGAGAGTTGGGAGGTTGCATGGAATTTTGATGAACAAGGAACTTTCTGTAACCAGCATGCGATGAGAACTTGCATCATCTCTCTGACCCTAATTTCATTATTACAAAGCCAGGCCCTCTTCGGCACATGCTGCAGACACGAAGGAATTGCAAGGAATGATGGAACCTATAGAGAAGCTTCCAAAAGACAATTAACTATTTAAAGTTGTACTGCTGTTGATCACGGAAATCATGTTTGCTAATAAATGTGAAATTGAGTTCAATGCAAATCTCTAAAGAAAATATTACACATATTTATTCAGCAGGCACGTTTGTCCAAAGTGAGTTGAAGCAGATGGTGCATCAGAAGGGCACAGCTGTCAAGGAGCTGATTTAGTTACGAGTGCAGCTAAGCTGGGCTTCCAGTCAGTAACAAGGGTGAGTCAGCAAGAGCTATGCGAGTCATTGTTAGAAGCTAACATCTGAACACCACAAGTGCTAGACAAGTGCAAGATACAGGAAGAGAGCATGCAGTGTTGCCAAGAAGCCGTGACTAAAGCAGAACAAGTCAAAACTAGAAGACAGAGCAGATCAGTGGTGGGATGAATTAGCCTGAATCTTTCCAGGGTAACTTTTATTATATTTTATTTTGGTTTTTATTTAATTGCATTTTGTCTGTATTAAACAATACAAACTGTGCTTCTCATCAAAGACAGTAAGCAGTGGTCGCTTGTGTCCTGGTAATCAGTCGCGGCCTTTGCACGTTTGTTTGGTGACGTTCATCGTCGTTTATATTGTCTTTTGCTGTTTGCCTTTGTATGCGGTTTCCTTCTCCATATCCGGACAGTGATTGGTGAAGCTGTGGTGGACAGGTTGGCATTTACAGAGTGCTTTATCCAACTCGTCCCGGGTCTGCATGGTGCCATGTGTGCTCTGCTACCAGGCTTGACTCAAGGAGGCCACTGCAGCCCCACACTGTGCACACTGCAACTCAAAAAGCAGTTTGATAACATAAAAGATATTTCACTTAAGTTCACTATCCGAATTTGGCAGTCCAGATACATTTTTGGTAGTACAGTGTAGCCTCTGGTCCAATCCCCCCACTGGTGCTTGCAGGGTAAAAAAAAAAACAAAAACATCTGTAGCCCAAAAAAAATGCGCACAGAGGAGTTGAGCAGAAACATCAATTCTAATGAATGAATGCATTAATACTGTCACGAATTTCAGGTCCTTCACCCTCCCTGGACAGATGTCACAAATGCAAAGATTGGATTATGTAATCATGAGTTGCATGTTATATTTCACAACAGTTGAAAAATTTCTACAGAAACATACAAACAGACCGAGGCATCGCAGCAACAACGCCGAATGACGAGGATTTAGGAGAGAACAATACCCTTTTACTGCAGTCCTTGACAGGATTATAACAGACACCCAACGGGCACCGAACCCCAAAACAACAGCAGGAACACAAGGTGGTCAGACGCCGAGCTATAAGGTGCACAGACGGTGGGAGATTTATACACGCTAAGGACTCGCATGATTGGACAGGGTACACACAAGACACGGGCAACATACATGCCACATTGTAACATATATTTCAACCCCTGTATTAGCTTAGTCATTTCATCTTGTTTGTTTGACTCATCTGCCGGCCCCTGGAGGATGGGCTCCCCCTTTGGGTCTGGTTCCTCCCAAGGTTTCTTCCTCTTAGGGAGTTTTTCCTTGCCACCGTTGCCTTTGGCTTACTCAATGGGGGTCCTTATGAGGCAGAAATGTAAAGCGCATTGAGAGAATGTAATGTTGTGATAATGCGCTATATAAATAAAATTGAATTGAATTGAATCGGGAAAGTCTTAACCATAACTACTACAACAAGAAAAATGCAAGGGCTATTTACAATGATTTACACAGGGCTATATGGATGCACTCGCGAGGCATACAGGGATGCACAGATCTCACCGGCGCTACAATATGCTTGCCTGTTCTTACACATTATCCCATTTAAAAAAAACCCAGCACATATATATATTTTTTTTCCTGTCAGCATTTCTCCTACCGCCTCACGGTACCTGCATATTCACTTAACCACAAAATTGCACAAGTCTTGGGAAAGAAGTAGCATATATATGTTCAAGAGGTATATACTTTAAAAACATAGATTTTTGTTTGCCTGCAGGTTTGCAATAACAGACATTGATCTGTTAATCTGTATTGAAATGTAGGCTAAAATTAGCGGGAGAACATTTTAAACTGAAACTGAGTATGGAATAATCTTCCTGTTCAAATACTGCAGGCTAAAACCCTGGGTTCCTTTAAATCAGAGCTAGATAAGATTTTAACAACTTTGAGCTATGAGTTAAGTTCTGCCCAAACGAGCTTGATGGGCCGAATGGCCTCCTCTCATTTGTAAATTTCTTATGTTCTTATCTGAGTTCACCCTGACTGGTACACAAGAATTTAATAGGACAAACTATTTCAGAAAATGGATAGATGGTTGGATGGAATAATGTTCATCTTATTGAGATACTGTTTCTTTAAGAAGTCGAACCGCTGCATACAATTCAGAATGTGGTTTGGTTTCACCTGCAAGGCTGAGTAGCCAATAAGCCAATTAAGGATTAACTGCTCATAGACAACTTGTAAAATACGAGTCACTGCTATTCACATAGTTTAGGTATAAGTTATTTGTGGTTTGTTCATGATAAAACACAATATACTGTGCAAATTCAAAGATTCTATTGCAAAATGCACGTTTAATATCAGCGTTCTCCGCTGTGCACGCTCAGACCTGTCAGCCACACACGTGAGCCCCGTCTCTGGCTGTAACGTAGTGTTTTTCCTGCATTCCTCTGCGACATCTTTTGTGTAACATTATCAGTCACCAGTACTATGCTGCATGCTTATGGGCTCATTGATGCGGATGAGATTTACTCTAGGTATTGAAATTTGGTACCGAGAGACGAGGCATTTCTCAATACTCAATAGTATTATGGAATTCGATCGGTGCTATAAAAGTATCGAAGTTTGGTACGCAGCCCTAAAATAGGGTCGAGTTGAAGCACAATTAGCGTCTAGACGCCAGGCCCTTTGTGACGGTTATGAAGTTAGATGCCTGGATAGATTAATAATTACAATCCACTTGTAAACTTGCATGAATTATTTATTGATAGTATCATATGAGGGTCTAAAGTAAAATGAAGAATTAATGATGAAAATATTACTGTATGTGTTCTCAGTGTGTGTGTTACGGGTGTGTAGTCTAGTGTGGGGTCCAGCTCTAGTCCATTTTGAAGGATTCTTCAGCTACCAGTAGAAAATTATCTACCTCTGAAAATTACTCTGAGGTGAGGTCATGCCTATGGAATGGTGTAAGTTTACTGATTAGGCTATGCTGTGAAAATCGCCAGACCGTGTGAGGAGCTTCATGGTTGGGGGGGGGGTGAGGACTGACTGTCCGTTTATGGATTGACGCAGTTGGACTTAGAACAGTGTTTCGGAGCTGCAAGCCCATGGGATAACAGAGCCTGCATCACAGCTGAGGAAGTGATGGTATTTGTCAGAAGCCCAATGTGGATGGGCGGCCTGGCAGTTTGCTCTGTGTGTGCAGGCATGCCCTCCTGTTCCTTCCTGTGAGTCTGTGAGAAGCCGCAATGGGCTGTAGTTGGGTCTCTTTGGGACTCTTGAGCTGGAATGACCAGGAGCATGCAAAGGTGTAACGTGCTCTAGGGCTGCACCATTCTGAAAAAAAAAGTGAATTGCAATTTTATTTTCGCTTGGAATTGAGATCACGATTCTCTGTAACGATTTAACTCCTTAAATTTAAAATTTATTTCACTCATTAAACTGCAAAAGGGAACACAACAAAACACGGCTGTGCCAAATATATGATTGATCCAGGACCGGCATATCAACTTCTGCCAGAAAGGAAATGCTCAATTGGCCATTCAGCTAAGGTAGCCAAAATAGCCAAACCAAAAGTGACAGTGGGGGTATTTCGGTACTTTGGGGTGGGACCTGAAAGTGCTTTCTTCGTCGAACGGTTATGCAAATAGCCTGCTGCTGAACCGCTATACAACCGCTGTTTTGAAAAAAGTTGTGAACTCAGAAAACAACGATAAACAAGGTTAACATAAATAAATAAATAAAAATAATGATGGACAAATGCCCCGCGACCCAGTAGGATAAGCGGGTTGGACAATGGATGGATGGATGGATGGACAAATGAAGTGACCCAAGCTGTAACTGCGATCTGGTCGGAAGAACCAGAGATCAGGATGGCATGAAAAGAAATAAAGTATTTTGCATAATTTATTAGGACAGCACGGTATTGGAAAAGTTCGAAGTGGGTTTTTATATTAAAAAAAAAAAAAGGAGTTCAACATAAATTTCTCAAAAACCATCTAGAGGTGATTTAAACAACAAGGATGATAATGATTATGATTGTCTCGAAGAAGGCATGCAGTGCTCATGCGAAAGCAGCGGAGGTAAACATTACACTGATTTTTAAACTTATACTAAATAATCTTGAAAAGGAACAATAATTAAAATTGCAAAACTTGATGATTTTTTTTTTCCTATGACGAAGTAAAAATGTAACTTCAACTTCCTGCACTATAATGTTCATATACAGAATTGAAAATAAGAAAAAGCCTGATCTTAATCTAGCTGACTGGCGAAGT